CAGGCCCCAAGCCTTGTAGTGAGATATCAGAAATCTTAGGGTCCTCTTTTTCATTATCTATGATCAAGGGGTCTAAAGTGAAATTTTTCCTAAATCTAATTCAGTATGCCATAAAGCCTAGTTGAGAGCTAGTGTTCTTTCGACTTCCATATTTTCTTCCAAAGCTGCTCATCAATAGCACAAGGCTTATGTGGCCCTCTGTGCAAAATCAGAGAACATAGGAGTTGGCTTTCCCCCTCAATATAGGAGGACAAAGGAGGAATCACAATAAATCTAGACTATTAAATTGCATTTAATAATTCATGTTTGATAATTTTTTAAAAATGCATATTTAATTTGAATGATTTAGATTTGTAATAGAAGAGTAGTGGAAACCTACCTAAGAATATATATGATTTTTGGCCCTATTAGTTTTTAATATAATAATTTTGGAAAAATAGACATTTAAGAACCATAGGACAACATTAAATGCAATAATAATAATAATAATAATAATAATAATAATAATAATAATAATAATAATAATAATAATAATAATAATAATTTTGGAATTTTTTTTGCAAGATTAAAATTCCTAAATGTAATTAACTTTTCTCATGAAAATCACCTACTGCCATTGTTACCAATGCCAGTCCCTAGTGATTATTAAATCCACAAGGTCGTCAAGAGAAGGTTTGAACTCATGATTCTTGATTAGCTTACCAAAAAAATTATAGAGCTTACATGTCACCGTGAATTCTTAATTATGTAGTGCAAAATTTAACATATGTTGTCACCTTAATTTTTTATTTTTCAAATCATTGACTTGTTAAGACCTTTATTATTTCATTAATGTTTACTTGTTAAATTATTAATGCAAACTTGTTAGAAATTTTTAAGAAGAATAGAAGGTATCATTCTAACCTAATATTTATTTGTCAAAAGTTTGAGTGAACTTGTCATTTTAATAATAGTTACTTGTGAACTTATTAATATTTAGTTGTCACTTCAGTTTTCAAACCATTTTCTTGTCAAGAATAAAAGTCATATTGTAATTTACTTTTCAATTTACTAATTAAGGGAGACTTGTCACACCCCAAAATATGAGAGTAACTGGCATGGGATAGGTACCAAAACTCACACCCCTTAAGCCTTTACTAGAGAAACTTTCAAGTTTCAAATCATAACTATACATGTAATAGATTTAGGGCCCTTCCAATATATATATATATATATATATTACCAAAAAAAAAAGCTTTAAACTATCTGTAAAAACTTGGTCAAAACATCTTCCATAAATAGGATCCCCTAAAAATTTTATGACAACATTTTTACATATAAAACAACAATCAAAAGCTCAGTTCCTATCTAGAGGCCAACAAATATATATACATATGTGTGTGTGTGTGTGTGTGTGTACATATATATACATATGTATATATATTGTCTAAGGCCAGCAATATAGATAAACAAATAAGGATCCTAATTATAGTTTAAGTGGAGTATCCAAAACATAATCTATAAAATAGAATAAATGAATTCAAGTTTTACATTAAGATAGTGATTAATCAAAATGATGTCTCAATTCAATTCAGTAGTACATAAGACCAATTTGATGATCTATCAGAGGTAAAAGATCAGTTACATTATTTGAGACAAAAAATATTTTTCTGTGAACATCTAATAATAAAAATTAAATGAATGCATATGAATAGTCTTAAGAAATTTTTATACACAATTGAAAAGGGAATAATTAAATATAACACAATCACTTAAAAATATGTTATTATCATTAAATTCTAGAACCACTAGCTTGAAATAAATGAAGCTGTTTAACATTTGTCTTTGGAAAATCAAATAGATCTAGAAACAAAAATATGTGGCAACATTTATGAATTAAAGCCATTAGAGAAAACATGCACAAGTCAATTAAAATTCACTCTTTTGAGGACTTAATAGAAGAGGTAACAAACATGGACATATAGTACACGAGGATAAATAATCAAATGCAGCTTGAGTTATGGAAACTGCAAATATGTAATGGATCTCGTAAGTGTATGGTTAGTAAAAATAATATGTGATAAATTGAGGTTATTCCCATAGAGAATCAAGTTAATAAGTAATTACGCAATAAAGGCTCTATTTTCATTTAAGTTGAGCAAAATAAAATTTGGATTTGATTTCACAAAATAAGAAATTACAGTTATATAAATGTACTAGAATTAAAATTCCAACAACCACAAACAATCAAGCAACCTAGGGTAGCTAATCCCTTTTTCAATTCATAAAGCATGTAATTACCCAAATAAATTTACTTATTATTAATTTAATTTGTTAATCTAGAATATTAATAGGAATAATTATCTTTCAATTAATTACACCCCTCTTTTGAATTAAATATACTATTCCTGACACAAATATCCAATAGAAAAACTGCACAAATTCACTCTAATGTGATTATATAGGTCCAATTGGTATATTCCTATCCTATTAACAAATTAGAATAAATTCTAACCCCACATTACTTAATCTAATGCTCTAATTTAGATTTTTCTTTTCCAAGGGCAAAACCCAAACACCCAAATTCACAGTACTCAATGATAGGCAAGCATTAAGTAGACAAATAAGTATAGGATTATGTAAACAGAACTAACATTACCATTAAATAAATAGTTTAAACATGCTTTAATCTTAGAATCAATTCATAACTATCCTTGATGAAGAAAAAATCAGCCACCCATAGCTTTAATGACAACAAATATCAATAATACACACACACACACACACACATACATATATCAAACTAAAGAGAAGAAGGAGAAAAAACACTTAATCAGAGCAATCTTATAAGTTAAACCCTTTATTTCTCACTAAACTCCAGCTTCTTCAACCCTTTTTTGATCTTCAGTGAATTTTAATTGTTCGGGGATCTCATTTTTAATCAATCTTCACTTCCAGTACCAGCAGAACGTCTAATGAGTTTGAAGCTTCTCTCAATGTCTAGATGATTCGAAGGAATGGGGATCAGGAATGAAAAATATCATAGACATGTGCTGTAATTTGTTCTCTCCTCGTTTTCTTTTTTCTTTTTTCTTTTTTAGTATTACGGAATGAAACAAAAATGAAATCCCTCTTTGTGCTCTAGGAGGATTCAAACTCAGAACTTGTGTATAATGATCCATAGTTACTTCCACTAAGCCACCAATTCACTCTTGTTAAAATTATCCCAAAATTAATAAAAATGCACTTAAATGATCAACTCATAAGTTTTTGTTTCTTTAAATTTTTGAGTCATTATAAGACTTGTTAACAAGATTCAACATCACAGTCTAAGGTATCTGTATTTGATATGAAGTATACTTGTCAAAGACTTAACCAAACATGACATTTCATTAATGCCGTTTACTATTAACGTTTACTTGCATATTGAACATTGTTAACAAGTTCACCTTAGAAAATTGATAGCTAAATTTTACTGAAATATATAACACGTTCTCTTGCCATTTTGACAAGTATACTTAAGATTATAAAAGGCATTTTCCACATTGAAACTTGTTGATAAGTTTCCCGGCCCCTAGTAAATTGACAAGTTTGGTTGTTGTTCTGACAAGTATATTTCAAATTATAAAGACACATTTTGCATGCTGAACCATATTGACAAGTACACCTTAGTAAATTAATGATATGAAGTATAATTGTGAGAATATTAACTGAACTTATCATCTTAGTAACATTTACTTGTCATTATAAGTTTTAACAACTATGATTTTCTATGACGTTGTGTAGGGTCATAAATATAATTTTGAAAAATAAATTTATGTCAAGCAAGTCTCAAGTCGAGGACTTCAGAATAATTACCCAATTTCATGGTCCATTTTGGTCTATTCTGCTATTTGGGCAAGACTTATTCTCATTCTCTCCTTATTATCCCACATGTTTTCTAATTTAAAGTGTTATAACTTAATTAATCAATAGTTTTTTCCCGAAATCTTGAAAGAGGTTGGGAGGTTTACCCTAGCCCTGGTGGCTATCCCTTCTAAACTTTTGCTTATAATATATATATATATATATATATATATGTATGTATGTATATATATGTATTCCCCCCCCCCAAAAAAAAACTAGCCCAATTTGATTATTTATCATTTCTAGAACCAATATTTCATGCTACCTAAAAAAAATTTTAGAACCAGCTTGAGAGTTTAAAACTTTTATCTATATTCAAAATTTTTTATGTTTATTAATAAAATGAAATTAAACTTCACTTCATTTTTCACTTGCTACTTACAAACCTCTGCCAGATTTCAAGTTCACACATTTTGCACTACTAATTAGATGAAGTTTTAATGTTCTAATAACTATTTGTCTTGAATATTTTTTTTTAAAAAATTATGTAAAAATAAACACAAGAGGTTAATTCATATGCTTTTATTTTTACTTTTTCAATGCTTGGTCTCTCTTTAATTATTAAGATTGAAAAAAGTTGCTGTGATATATGTTGCTTGAAAAATCTTAATCTTTAGGATAAAAATTGTAATTGGCTAAAAAATAAAATAATATAGTATTTAATAATTTGAGTATTCAAGCTAGCCTAAATAAATTTGAAAGCCTAAGATATTAGGGTCAGATTTTGCTATATGAGTTTTGTTATATATTTGTGTGTTTTAAGCCCAATAAGCCTTGCTTAAATTGAGTCTGGTCCAAATAAGCTGCCCAAATTGCTGACTCTAATCATTCTAGTGAAGAGTAAAATTACAAAGTCAAATATTTTTTACAAGTTTAAGGACATTAATTACTATTATTCCTTAAGAATCAGGAAATTAATTAATTTTATCCTATAATTAGGACCAAGGGAGTGAGTAGTTAACAAAGCAAACCACATTTATTCATAACACATAATCGTCGACACAATATAACGCACATACCCAAGCAGCTGATTTATTTAGAGCAATATTACATTAGGAAGCTCGTTAAACGGTATCAGCACAACATTACACCAAGGCATGCATATCACCAATTACTCAACGGACTATCTTTCGGATAAGAGGCACAAAAGTGGTTGCCTGAGCTGGGGTAGTGGATGGCGGCGGCGGCGTAAGTGGTGGAGGTGGTGGCGCAAGTGGCGGCGGCTGGGGGCTTGGGTGTGGAGTCGGGACGGGTTCCTTGTAAAGGCTGAACACAACATTGAATGCTTCCTTGCAGAACTCCACGCGCATGATGTATCGATCAGATCCGTATGGTATGGCGGCGAGAGAATACTCGTCAACTTCGTAAAGAGCAAAGGCGATGTTGTATGCATGGTCCATATCTTTAGATTTCTTGATGAGAAATTTACCGTCCATGGTTTTAGCTCCCTCAGGTGGACCAATCAACACAGGGTACCTTTTCTCGCCTTGAATTTCAACGGTCCAGTTGCCTGATCTAGCGCACGTGGAAACCTCAGAAAATTCGATGTGCAAGAATTCACCTACCTTGATTCTTTGTTGATGTTCAATTTCTGTCTGAAAAATCACTTTCTTAGCGTCAGCCCCGATGATGACCGACACTGGGCAGTTTTGGTGCCGGACTAGTTCAGTTTGAATTCCACGGCTATAGTTTGAGGCATCGAGAATGTGGTATTTCTTGCCGGGCACGAGAGCATTGCCATCGATGTCCTTCACATAAGTTACAGCTAGGGTTAGGATTTGCGTGGAGAAGGCAAAGAGAAGGAGAAACAGAGAAGGCAATGAAGCAGCAATCTTCATTGGATATCCTGAAATATGAGAGAGAGAAGTGAAGGTGTGGCGTGGAGACAGAAGATTGTATGGGTTTCTATTATAAAGTTACAAATGGAGCAAGTGTACAACATTATCCAAGCTTCTGTTTAATAAAAAAATGTTATCATATAAGAGAAATTCTTACGGGAGCCCGGTGCACCATATTAGCCATGTTTTGTCTAATAAAAACATGACATGTCAAAAGATTGTAAATATATTTTGATTGTCATTAAAGATGATAGAGAGATAAAAGACAAGAAATTAAAAAGGCAATCTATTTCAAAAAATAAGGTCATTAACAATTATGACACATAAGATTTTGTTTTTTATTGAACTAGTAGAAATTCTTGCATGGACCTAATGCACCATGCCATCTATGCACCATTCAATTGCACCAATTCAATCCAATAAAATCTTATGTGTCATAATTTTTAATGATTTTATTTTTAAAAAAGAATGTCTATTTAATTTTTTGCCTTTTATTTCTCTACTATCATTAATGTTATCAAAATCATTCTATGCTCATAACAATATGAATGCCATGTTTTTACTAGATGAAGCATGAATGATGTGGTGCATCAGATCCATACAAGTAGTGCAATCTTATTGGACAAAGTATAGATGATGTGGTGCACCAGATCCATGTAAGAATTTGTCTATAAATTGATTTTTTTATTAATAATAATAGAGAGAGAAACACAAAAATTTGAAGAGGTATAGTGTAACTTTGTTAGACAAAGTATGGATGGCGTGGTGCACCTAGTCAATACAAAAATTTATCTACAAGGTGAGGTTGGATTAGAGCAAGCATGCAACTTAATTTAAGGAGAATTATAGTTAAGGATCACAGTAGAGATTTAATTTTAGGTTAGTCCAAATTTTTTTTGAAATTTTATTTTAGTCTAGGGGAGAAAAGTCAAAAGAATTTTGACTGTGAGAAGACCAAAATACCATTCAATCATTATGCAGAATCACTACTTGTTGATTTTGTTACTTCATTTGTTAATTTATGAATATGAGTTGTAAATTATATGAGTTGATATATTAATAATTATATAAGACTTGTCATCAGTTGTTCAATCATAGGTAGCAACATTAGTTCATAAATTGCTAACTTTACTTGTTAATTTACAAACATTAATTGTAAATTACAAGGCCTATCAGTAATTCACAACTAATGTTAATAAATTAAAAAGTTAAGTTAGCAAATTAACAATTAATAGTACTGATTGTCTGACAAATGGATGTAATGGAAAAGTAATATTAGTAAATTAACAAGTACAGTCAAAAAATTAATAACTAGTGATTTTGCATAACAAGTGAAGGATATTTTATTCTTTTCACCATCAAAATTAATAACTAGTGATTCTGCATAACAATTAAAATTTCAAAAAAAAAAAATTACCCACCTATAATTAAATCTCTACTGTGGCCCTTAACTAAAATTCTCCCTTTAATTTAATTAGCATGTTCAATTCATGTTAGATACTCTCTCCGTTACTATGTATAAGAGAAAAAAATTGTATCACATAGTTTAAGAAAGTTGGTTAACTATAATAATTATGTCTAAAAATAAAAAAATTAGACTAAAATGCCCTATATTAATCAGCATAAGCATGCATTAATTATTCCTTGTTAATGTAAATTATGGGTTGCAATTTAGAAAATGTGTAATCAATACTTATTAAAATATATGATTTTGCTTATATAAAAAAATAAGTAAAAAGTGGTGGTTTCTTTTATAAATAGAAACAGAATAGTATAGATGATGACAAGATCAAGGACCACTGCTAGTGGTTTCCATTGAATTGGCCATTGCTATTTGCTAAAGTACGATTACCAACAAAAGATTTTTGGATGCTTCCCAAAATAAATAAAAAAATAGTACTTAACTTGTTTTTTTTTTTGGGAGGAATCTATGACTGGAGGAACCCATTGAATTGGACCACTGAAATTTGTCCACCGTTTGTAAAATTAACAAAGAATTTTACAAATGGTGGACAAATTAAGAGGGGATGAATTTGTGGGATGAATTTGTAATAATCCTAGGCTCTGGGTTAATTCTTCAATGCGGAGTTAATCAAGAGGCGATGAGATTACAATTTACAAAGCATACACGATACTCTCTTCAATCCTATTCATAAGATGAAGAGAGAATAATTTTTTTATCCTATTTATAAATTATGTTATTAATTTTTTATCATAATTTTTCCTTTTTCCTTCCACTAAATATTGGTAAAATTTTTCTTAAAATGTGTATATTTAATAGAGGAAAAGTTAGATATTTATTAAATTTTTAGATAAAATTAATGTGTTTTTTTTTTAAATTCTGGTGAAATATATTGAAAGTAAATTTTAGATAGGACCAGATGAATAATTGAAGGAAAATACACAGACGTATAAATAATTAACATAACATAAATATTTTAATATATTCATATTTAATTTTACAAATATATAAACAAAACAAACATACATTATTAAAGTTTTACTCGTCTATTCTTTATATTATATAAATAATCAATAATTTGACATTAATTCACTAGTTAAGTTATGAAATTTAGATGCTTTGAGAAATCAAGCTCGTAATGTTATAATTTGATCGCATTCCCATCAAATAATTTTTCTTGGCACCGATGCGCAATGCCATCACCATGTCATATATTTATTTCACATGTGTCTTCCTCAAGCTCGAGCAATATCATGTTTCTCATTCTCAATGCCTTTGTGATCATTTTTTTTTTCAGTTGAAATGAAATAAATTTTTATATTTATTATACAAAAAAATTAAATATACATTATTTAACCTCAAACACTCATAAATCAGTATATTATTCAAAAGTATGTATATATATTCTTTTCAATTATTAAAATGATAAAATATTTAATTCAAATATATTTATATGACTCTTTATTTTTTTAAAAATTGTTTTAAAATGTTTTTAGGAAATTTTATTTAAAATGGAATAATTTGAAAATATTTAATCTTATAAAATACACATTATTATTATTTTTAGTAATATATTATTTTATGAATATTATTTTGTGTATATTTTATTGTATTAAATTATATAGAAATAATATTATATATTACTTAATACATTATATTTTTGAATAAAATATTATAAATATGATTAACGTAGATTAAAATTTATATATTTTCAAAATATTAAATTCAAATATAAATTTACATAAAATATTAAAAACAAACATCCTACAATTTCATAATGTCATGTAAAATTCAAAAAAAAATGATCAAATTTGACTTTTACATTTTCAAAAATTTCTCAAAATTAATAAATAGATAAACTATTTTCTCTTAAAATAATTTTCCTTTTCTTCTTCATATGCTAAAAGAAAACATTATTTATATCTATCATAGTCAGCTCTAAAAAGATATCTTGATCAGAATAATTAATTCTCACCATGTAAATATTATTTAGAGTGACTTAAAACAAATTTTATTTTTTTTAATTCTTATTAGTATTCATTTCACACATATATATATATATATTTTAACTCTGTCTCCACCACTTATGAATAATCCAAATTTAGTTTTATTTTCCAATTTCGATAAAAAAATTTAATTTCACTTCATTCATACATATTATTACCATAATTTCATAATTTAAGTTAAAATTCAAGTTAGATTGTGAACTTCATTCATTAATTGGACAACATCATACTCCTTTACATCAATCATCATAGCATCATGGGAAGTGTTAGAATTCTAGCCACGATTTTACTCATAAATATTGATAACTTTTAGTATTTTTTCACTTTTAAGTTAAAGCACTCGCGCAATATTGTAGTTACCCTAAAATATCACTCCCGTAATATGTATGACCATCTATGCATTTAATAAAGTAACCTCCACGTGCGCAGGCACGAGAAAACAAGAGATATATATTGATGCGAAATTTAAGGACCACTCGCGGTTTTCATCGACTTGGACAAGTCTTAGTTGTAATTTGCTAAAAGGACCAATATACAACAATGACTATTTCATGGACAGTGATGGGAACTTTTGTCTTGAGGAATATAAACAATTAATATAGAATCTATATATCTCATATTTCCCACCTGGTGATAGATCCTGTTTTTTTTTTTTACCACTCTTTTTTTCTTTTCTTTTTTGTAATTTTCTTGGTTGGAAAAAATTCTCTAAAACAATTGAGATTCATGAATTTCAATAAAGTTTTTAAATATTTTTTATTTTAATATTTTTTAAAAAGATAAACTCTTACTCTTTCTTAAAATTCACAGATTCTCAATAGAATCCATTCCCATGGGGACCGATTTGATACGAAACTACTGGAAATGACTCATCAGCCTTTGAATTTATAAAACTTGGAAAAAAATTATTGTCAAATATGGATATTTAATAATGTGAGAGGCTCTTTTACTCTATAATATACTCCCTCCATTAAAAAATGTGAGTCATTTTTTTAGTAGTTGAATGTTAGAAAATGTTAGACATTTTGAGTTTTTTAAAGTGTAATTTTTACCTTTTTTTTCAAAAGTGCCCCTATTGAATAAATTAATTTATTTTTTTAGGGTGTTTAATAGGAATAAATATGAAAAGATTGGATTAGTTTAGAGATAAGTAATTACTTCCTTAAGGGGTGAGATTAAGTTAAAAATATCTTATATTTTTTAGCAGGGGGAGTATTGATTATAATTAGGCAAGAAGTTTGTTCAAAAAAATTAAGCTACAAGTACTTAGCGACAAATATATGCGTGATTTGTCGTCATAAATGCTCTTTTACTAAAAAAAGTAGTTAATGATTTGAAAATAATGTTTTAAACGCGTATAAGTATATGTGTTTTCATGATCACCAAATGGGGGGGGGACCAGTTTAAGTGTTTAGCGATACACACACATGCATGCCTGTATGGTTACCACACTTGTTTAAACTAAATTTAATAATGTGGTTAATCTAATCTTATTTTTTTATGCTGGGAAGTGATTAGTGGGGCAAAAATCT